GGTCACCCTGCCTCGGTGGGAGACGGCCGACTTGTTAAAAAAAAAAACTTAGGTAATTAATTTATTATATAGTTTTTAAATTTACAGTAGTTGAAGTACTTACTACTACTAGTACACTACCAGTAATTTACCTAGAGTTTACCTGGAGAGAGTTCCGGGGGTCAACGCCCCCACGGCCCGGTCTGTGACCAGGCCTCACTACTACTGTTACTACTACTTCTTGTAGCTCATTCCATTCTCTCTATAAAGTACTTTCTAGTATTACTTTGGCATGTCTTATTAGTTTAAGGCTATAACCTTTTGTTCTCCCTGCTGATGATGCTATTAATCTTCTTTATTGATTCTTTTGTACCCTTTGATTATTTTATGTGCAATTATCATGTCTCCTCATTTATCAGCCAGCAGCAGCAGCATGACTAAGACATTTCCTCATAACATATATTTTAGTTCAGCTAGCCATTTGAAGCATGTCTTCTGATTTTTTCTTGGTTTGTCTACATTTTTTTTTTTTTTTGAAGTGCAGACCCCATACTATTACTGCACATTCTCAACTTTTAATTGAGTGTATGTTTAGAAAAGCTTTTTGGTATTTTCTCATCTGCATATCAAAAAGCTATTTTAAAACTGGGCAGTGATGCATAGGAGTTTCACACTGTTAAATTTATATGATCTTCCAGTGACAACTTTTGTTAGAAATGACTCCCCTTCTTTGTCTGATGACTTTCATATATTGTTACAGACTATAGCTTTCATGTGGTCTAGTTTTTCACCTTTTTCCCATCTCTGACCGGGTACATGACTCTTATCCACATTAAATTCCATCATTCATCAATCATGTTACTACACACTTCCAGCAAGTCAACTACCAAACCAGTTATGATGCACATATTTCATGTTATGGGTCACCCTATCTTTGAGGAAAGCAGCCCATGCGGTATAAAAAAAAAAGTTAGAAAGTGAAACCGCTAATTTCCCTTAGCTTTTTCTCCAAATACTGTCTTCATTATTGCTCAACAGATTTGTAAAATTAAGGGTTGAGTAACAAAAAAAGGCTAGTATTGGCTTTACATTATTAATCCTAAAAGGTTAATCAGTATAAATCAAGAAAGCTAAGCAATATAATTCACTTCTGTTGGGAGTCCTTAGGTTGTCTTCACTAGGATGTGAAGCACAAGAGCAGACCCACTCCTAGGCATCTATTCACTGCCAAGTGAACAAGAGCAGCAGGTGTAAGGAAACCTGCCCATGCATCTAGACTCTCCTGGATCCCTTGCAATTAAGATCAATATTCTATCACTATGCTATAAGTTTCTTTTATTTTTCAGCAATGACCTTGTTCACAAGACAGATTGCCTTCTGAACTCAGTACTTTTCATTAATTGCCTTTTCAGTTGTTAAAGCATGCCCATATTTTGAACTGCTAAGTGTCCATGCTTACTAGAAAAATGATATCTTAGTCTGGCCGGTGCCATTGCAGTATTTTCAAGCATGTCCTCACAAACAGTACATAGTAGTAGTAGTAGGCTTTTCATATTTCATTTACCAGTGAGTGAAGACAATGTCTACATAGCTTTCATTATCCTGGTGAACCTTGCTTTGCTGAATGATTGTGCTGTTTGAATTTTGCTTCAAAACTGTTTACACTTTCAAAACTTGTCAGGTTATATGAAAAATTGTCTGATCAGGTATTGTAATACACAGCTCTTATGCTATTTTAAAGAAAACACACACATTATAAAAATGATTGAATGATGTACGATTCAACACCAACTAATCAAGATATCAGTAACAGTATTAGAGCACAGCTTTAAACACATTCAACTCAAGTTTTCTGCTGCCTTCTCCTCATCTGTTCTATGTCCTGCCTACCACTCACCCAGTGATACAATAGGGATTCCAAAGAATAGTTTTTATGTGATATTTATAAAACTTTTTTGTTTCATAAAATCTTGTGACACTTTGTAACATATTCACAGAGCTTTTAGGTTTCTGCAGAATCCTAGTTTAAAAACACTGGCCTAGTTTTCTGTATAGCAGAAAAAAGCAAAACAACTAAAAAGCCCGAAACACTTCAGATGTGACCACTGATAAAAACTATTATCACTGGAATACAAACCAGTGAATTCCCATGGAAATACAGTAGAACTCTGATCTATGATATTCTGAGTGTTTCACACTTACAAGTGACATTTTGAAACCAATTACGTAGGTACAGTGGACCCTCGATTTTGTAAGCCTCGCACTTCATAAATTTCGCCTTTCATAACATTTTTTCATCAAAATATAGCCTTGCAGTTCGTAATTTGGCTCGCCATTTGTCGCCCGTCCAGAATGCATAAAAGTGGCCTCCCAGCATCCGTGCCACACACCACTAGCAGTCAGTGACATTGTTTATTGGCGAGTGAACATCACTACATGCATCCAAACGATACATTTCATAATATTCCATTCTTTTTTGTGCTTGCAACTTCTAAATAAGCCACTATGGGCCCAAAGAAAGCTTGTAGTGCCAACCCTTTGGTAAAGAATGTGAGAAACACAATAGAATTCAAGAAAGAAATCATTGCAAAATATGAAAGTGGAGAGCATGTGCCCCATCTTGCCAAGATGTATGGGAAGCCCCATACAACCACTGCTTCCATTGTGGCAAAGAAAAAGGAAATCAAGGAAGCTGTTGTTGCGAAAGGGGTAGATATGCTCACAAAAAAGAGATCGTGAATATTCGAAGATGCTGAGAATTTGTTGTTGGTATGGATCAACAAAAAACAGTTAGCAGGAGACAATGTTATGCAGTCGATAATTTGTGAAAAGGCATGGCAGTCGTATGTCGATCTCATAAAGAAAATGCCTGGAACAAGTGTTGATATAAGTGAATTTAAGGCCAGCAAAGGCCTGGTTTAAGAGATTTAAGAAGCATAGTGGCATATACAGTGTGGTAAGGCAAGGCTGCCAGTTCTGACAAATATATGCCTGAAAAATTTGTGCAGGTATTGAAGGACTATGTAGAGGCTGAAGGGTTCATCCCCCAACAAGCGTTCAATTGTGACAAAATGGGCCTCTTTTGGAAGAAAATGCCAAAGAGGACCTACATCATGCAGGAGGAAACAGCATTCCCAGGACACAAGCCTATGAAAGACAGGCTAACTCTCATGTTCTATGGTAATGCTAGTGGGGACTTCAAAGTGAAGCCTTTACTGGTGTATCACTCTGAAAAACCCAGAGTGTTCAAGAAACACAGTGTCACCAAGAGTAATTGTGTGTGATGTGGAAGGCTAACAGTAAGGCATGGGTCACAAGGGAAATTTTCCTTGATTGGTTCAATGAAGTATTTGGCCCGAGTGTGAAGGAATACCTCCTGGAAAAAAAATTGCCACTCAAGTGCCTCCTGGTAATGGACAATGCTCCTGCTCATCCTCCAGACTTGGAAGAGCAATTGGTGGAGGAGTTTAGTTTCATCACAGTGAAGTTCTTGCCCTTTAATACCATTCCTCTCATCCAGCTTATGGACCAGCAGATCATTTCAAACTTCAAAAAGCTCTACACCAAAGCAATGTTTCAAAGGTGCTGTGATGTGACCTCAGACACTCAACTGACCCTAAGAGAGTTCTGGAAAGATCACTTCATTGCATAGGCCTTATAGATAAGGCTTGGCAGGGAGTGACTTCCAGGACTTTGAACTTAGCTTGGAGAAAACTTTGGCCAGATTGTGTCCTTGACAAAGATTTTGAAGGGTTTGAGGCTGATCCCTGTCGACCCTACACTTGTTGTGCAATCAATTGTGGCATTGGGGAATTCCATGGGGTTGGATGTGAGTGGCCACGATGTGGAAGAGTTGGTGGAGGACCACAATGAAGAGCTAATCACTGAAGAACTGCAAGACTTTTATCTGCAACAACAACAGACCACAGCTCAGGAAATAGCTTCAGAGGAGGAAGACAGATGGAAGAAGGTGCCTTCTTCAAAGCTTAAAGACATTTGCACAAAGTGGAGTGAGGTGCAAACATTTATGGAGGAACATCACCCTGACAAAGCTGTTGCAAGCCGTGCTGGCAACATGTACAATGACAATGTCTTGTCCCATTTGAGGCAAATTTTAAAGAGATGCCAGAAACAGAGCTATCTGGAACAATTTTTTGAGTGACAGGGGTCCAGTGACTCTCAAGCTGGTCCTAGTAGTATTAAAAACAAAGAAGGGAAGTAACCCCAGATAAGGACTCGGTACCTGAAGTCTTTATGGAAGGGAATTCCCCTTCCAAACAATAATGTAACTTCTCCATCTTCTCCCCTCCTCCTGTCTTCCATACACCAACAACAGCCTTCAATAAAGGTACCTGTGATGTCATTTTTTTATACTTGATGTCTCATTGTTTTCTGTATGTAAATCTATATTTAACGTAAAAAAATATTTTTTGTTAATACTTTTGGGTGTCTGGAGTGGATTAATTGGATTCACATTATTTCTTATGGAGAAAATGGTTTTGCCATTCTTAAATTTCCACTTTTGTCACACTCTCTGGAACAGATTAATTACGAAATTCGAGGGGCCACTGTACTTATTTAGAGGCAAGTGACTCACTTCCAATGGTAGGTCCTACTTACAAAGTTTAAAAAACAAAAGCAAAAAGCTTCTCTTGCAGTGAGCAAAACAAGCTCAACATTCAAAGTAAATACAGTAAGTACACAACATATTGCTAAAATTCTTATTAGATTATTTTATTAATTAATACGTACTGGTACACATCACAGAGTGATGTTGTAGTGTACAGTACAAATATGTAACTGAAAAAAGCATGCTGAAGGTAAAATATTGGGTAAAAATTCTTGTAGGAACAAATTAAATGAAATCACATATGGAAAATTAGGTTACCGTTTATGGGAAAATAAATTTCAATTAACAAATATTCAGCTTGTGATGTATTTTTGGGAATGCATTAACATCATAAATTACAGATCTACTGTATGGATAATCTTTGAAAGTATACAACATTAACATTTCTCACCTTCATCTATACTGGGACTATCATCATCCATTTCTGAGAGAATTTCCTCAAGAATCTCACTGTCATGAATGGCTTCTGAGCACATCCATACTTTATAAACCTGAAGTATATGAATACAGAATATTTTAATGCAATTTAAAAAATACTTTCACAAAAATTATGTGAATACACTAAAGTAGTACCAACACTTTTATATGGGTGTGAGGTATGGGCTTTAAATGTTGCAGTGATTAGACTAGAGGCAGTTGAGATATCAAATGTCTGAGAGAAATGTGTGGTGTGAATATTATGCAGAGAGCTGAGGATGGAGCAGAATGACTCACGAAATCGTAATGACACGATTGCGACGGGCTGGAGTTTTGAGACTCTCTGACCGCGGGTTCAATCCCGGCCGGGGTATGGTTTGGAGCAGAATAAGATTACCAAAAGGGTGGATAAATATTGGGTGGAAGGAAGGAGGGACAGGGGTCATCCTAGAAAGGGTTGGAGAGAAGTGGGTAAGGGTTTTGAGTGCTAGAGGCTTGAGCATCCAGCAGGCTTGTGTGAGTGTGTTCAATCAGAGTAGAGACAAGTGGTTTTTATGAATCATTATGATTTCGTGAGTTGAATCTACATGCTTTTGGAGTTTGAGCAAAATAATATTTAAGAAATGATTCAAGAAAAAAAGTCAGTCAGACTTGAATCTTGGAAGCAGGAAGCAGCGCCTGCACTCCGAAGGAGGGATGGGGGATATTAGTTTGGAGAGTTATCTGAACCGGGATGTCTGTGTACTTCTAGTAAGACAGTTATTTAACCCTTTCAGGGTCCATGCCGTAGATCTACGGCTTTACGTTCAGGGTCCAAACCGCAGATCTACGCCATGAGCTCAGCTCACTCTGATAAGCTGTGAGCAGTAAATTTGGGCCTAGATATGAGAGAATACATCTATGTGGTATGCATGCACCACATAAAACAACTCCTGCAGCACACAGTGCATAATGAGAGAAAAAGCTGAGACCATAATTTTCGATTAAAACAGTGACTTTGCAGTGTTTTTACGTATGTTTTTATAGTTGCATTTGCAATTTCTTGGTCTCATTTGATAGAATGGAAGACATACTACAGAAATAGAGATGATTTTGATTGGTTTAAGTACTGGAAATGGCTTGAAACTGAGCTCAAAGTAGCAGAAATGTTAAATTTTTGCCGATGTTCAAGAGTAAACAAATGACCTCACAAGTCTAATACATGACAGCTGGCTGGTCTAATAACATTCACAAATTGGATGGGTATTTTTTATACAATTATTACAGTATTGCATAACAGTAAATCTTCTATTTTTTGGTTTGAATAAAAATTCATTATGTGAATAAAAAATAAAAATGGAATTCACTTGCAAAGCCTGAAAACATACCTAATGAACAGAGGAAATGTTAGTTTAGTGCCAGGAATGCCTGCATTGTTTAATCTGGACCCTATTTTGAAATTGAAAATATTTGAACTTTGCATTAAAATGGCCAAATTACCAATTTCCAGTCACTTTATTTTGTTGTTGAAACAGTTGATTTGGTATTTTCTTGTGCTCAATCGATAGAATAGAAGTAATACCAGTGAAATAGCTAAGAATTTGGTTGACTGGAATACTGTAATTGCCCTAAAGTGGGAGTCAAAGTCGGCAAAATCGCCGATGCGTAAATATCGCCGACACATCAAAATTCGCGAGAGCATAATTTCGTCAATTTTCCATCAAATTTCATACTTTTTGTTTTATTACCTTCAGAAAAAGATTCTCTACCATTTCATAAGAAAAAATAAAATTATTTTTTGAAAATTCTTGGACCCTGGTGTGCACTTTGAAATTTAGCCTCTGGACCCTGAAAGGGTTAAAAGATGGTAAATGTTTCATTCTCCCAAATCCAAAATATCAATTTCTGCTATGAAAAATGTATATCTCAAATTCTCAATTTTTCAAATGAATGAAAATTCTGAATATTAATTTGGAGAACTCTCTAGTTAGGCATTTTCTAAATAAGAGAAAATTTACATTTTTTAATTAGGAATACTTTATTGATTTCTGTAACTAAAGGTTTTTTCTTAATAATGATATTATTTCTTTCTTAAGACACATTAACTACAATAATAGGATAAAAGTACATTTCTAAGAAGGAAAAGCTCACAGTTATGCATAGCATCTTGGACAGCTGCTGGGATTCATACAAACAATATAGAAATAAAAAGCAATATACAGTATTGTGTATATGTATATAAATGTACACAAATAACCCTCACATAGAAGAGAGGAGCTTATGACGACGTTTCGGTCTGACTTGGACCAAGTCAGACCAAAATGTTGTCGTAAGCTCCACTCTTCTATGTGCGGGATACAGTGGACCCTCAGTTAATGATGCCATCGGATAGCTATAAAATCAGATACCGATATGTTTTTGTGTCAGAATGTTGGCTCGGCTAACGATAAAAAACTTAGTTAAGGACCTTCGTCCAGAACGTGTCCGTGCGGCCTGAGCCGCTCGGCCACTCCAGTGTAGCTAGTGTGCCACTGTTTATAAGCCACTGATGATGATTCCACCCATACATGCGATACATTTTGTAATATTCCATTGTTTTTAGTGCTTGTAACTGCTAAATAAGCCACCATGGGCCCAAAGAACACTTCTAGTGCCAGCCAGCCCTTTAGTAAAGGGCTGAGAGAGAGGGGAGAATGTGCCTTTTTCAGTGATTCTGCAATATGTACGATGCTAAAGCAGCAGGAGTCTATGAAGGCTAAAGCGGCAGCCAGCGATAAAGTGTAGCATTAACTGTAGCAAGTAAGTTAAGCGATTAATCGATAAAAAAAGGACAGCATGAATCTAACTCCTCCAATGTTGTTGGAGTTATGTAGGGCGACTGACAACACTGCTGTCTCTACCGCCTCTGCTGCCGCCTCTCTTCACCACTATGTACGGCTTATGCTCTCAGTGGCCCTTATACACCCAACAACATGGCAACACTTGTGACATACTTAATGACGTATTTTATTCATTCTAGGGTATATGTCATGTTTCTATGTTATTAACCCTTTCAAGGTCTGTCCCGTAGATCTACGGCTTTAAAATTCAGGGTCCAAA